TTTGCTATGTTTGCCTAGCCGATGATAGCCGCAGGTATCAATTCAAAGCTAGAACGTAATGACTTGTCACACATGACTGAACAAAAGTCTAATCGAAGTGTAACAAAACATAATCAAAATCAACATAAAAACGTATATGAATTTTGACTGCAGAATTTTGGATTTGTTTGTGTGTAGTTCAAATGTGCTTAGATATGGGTAAAAGAAGCTTCTGTTCATTGCAGCTGGGTTGTCTTTGGTCCGCTGTCTTTTTTTTTCCTTTTTCTATAATTTAGATTCGGGCGTACATCAGAAAATTCATTATCTCACTTCCAGTTTTTATGGTTCCACTCAGTTTATATTATACTACTTGCGGTATGACGTTATTAATGACATAGTGTATTGCCGCGGGCCCTCGCAGCTTATCCCCTCCACTGACATAGTGTATTGCCGCGGGCCCTCGGAGCCTATCCCCTCCACTACAGCACCGCCTCCTTCCTCTCAATAACCGTGTTTCACGCTTGGCTAGCCGTTGTCCACCAGGGACATCGTTGGCTTATTTTCTCAGCACTTGCTAGGATGGCTAGGACTCAACGGTATAGCTATCGAACGACTATGATAAACACTTCTCCGTTACCTCTTTCGGTTATTAACCCTCATTGCGCGCGTGTCCTGATCTCGTGAACAGTCTTCACACAGAGCAAAGAAATCTAGCGCTCTGAAAAAAAGAGCACAAAGCCAAGAGAACGCCGATAAGTGGGCGGACTTGGAGCCGGCAGTCTTCTGGAAAATGACATGAAACGTCATCAGCACTACGGATTAATGGCAGTCACTGTCTCAATTGAACAAAGAAAGAAACTGCAACGAGTATATCCTTTTAGTAACTGACCACATCTTCGTTAACGTTGTCAATCGATCTATAACCACGTGACAAGAAGTGACAGTAATTACCTAGAGTTTAAGTATGGACATTGTTTATCTATATGAAAGTTACAGTTCGTGATTCAAAACTGAATATCTCGCACACCTAAGGCTTAGGCAATTCACAAAAGCTTACCATATCTTTGATGACGTTGCTTTTGGGGTAAAGTGAAATGTAGAGTAAGTATTCAGACTCTCGTAGTTTTGTAATATTTGTTTTATCTTACAATAACTGTGATTTTTAAAATGTAGTTTAATAAGGTTTGCATTTATAATCAAGGCACTTATGCAACTGTACTTTCTTACAAGGTTTCTATGGAATATCATGGAACATCATGCTGATAACTTAACATTACAAAAGGTTTTTCTAGCATGACGTTTCCTAGATGCCTAATTGCAGTTACAAAAATTCTTATGGATTACCAAAGTAAGCCCTTTACTAGTTTATAAACTTGTTTTGTTACTAGATCGCTAACTATTGATATTATCTTGGGTACTTCTATATAATATATATTGCATCTGAACGTTATAATGATTCTTTACAATTTCATTTTTACATGTTAAACTTAAAAGGTGTTATATAGATGTTGTTCTAAGGGTTTTTAAGTAGCGTAAATATAGTACAGTTTTGGTTTTAATGGACTGCTCTTGGTTGTGTAAGGCATAATTGTTTCATTTAACCATTTTCATGATGCTGTAGAACATATTATTTTTACATCTAAACTTTATTGAAAGGTTCTACAGAGCTTCGTGTTTTTGGATTTAATCATTACAAGGGTATTCTATAGAACATCATTTGTTGCATCTAAACATTATTGAAAGGTTCTACAGAGCATCGTGTTTTTGGATTTAATCATTGCAAGGGTATTCTATAGAACATCATTTGTTGCATCTAAACATTATTGAAAGGTTCTACAGAGCATCGTGTTTTTGGATTTAATCATTGCAAGAGTATTCTATAGAACATCATTTGTTGCATCTAAACATTATTGAAAGGTTCTACAGAGCTTCGTGTTTTTGGATTTAATCATTTTAAACATTATCCGAAATGTGTAATACATCTTGTTGCATTTAAGCGTTGCAATGGTTTACATCACTTTATTGTACCTTAACGTTGTCCAGTACATTTAAAAACTTGTTTGTATTTTGATAAAACGTTGTCATTATTATTATGAATAACTGGTCCACACTACAAGTACAAACACACACATATATATATTTGAAAGGCGTTGTTAATGGACTATATTTATCTAGGAATTTTTGAACGACGTTTCTAGCTGATAGCAAAGATCTTCATGTATTGCGTGCGCAACTACATTCTCAAATTTGTCTCGACTAACATTTCGCATGGATTGTTGGATGTCATTCTACATTGGATGTCATTCCGTGCTTTCCTGTTGTAACTTATATCACTCATTTAATCTTGTAATGTTTTGAAATAAATACTTCAGTAAAATCAAAAGTTAGAATAATTTATTGTGGAAAAATAATCAGTGTGTTATAAGCTTCACGAATTAATTGGGGATCGTTCTTCCTAATGAAGTTTCTAGTATAAGTGGGATCCTCCGAGATCCTCATTTCATTTCGGCATCTTTTCGTTGATTTATTTGTTTGGTTATGAAAATTTGTTTTACACTTCTAAGTAATTGATTTGTTGAACCTGTTGCAGTAGTCTGAACGTTTTCCAAAACTTTAGGCTTTTTTAAATATGCACTCCAGCTTTTGCGTAATATTCATTGGTTGATTTTTGTTTTTAATTAAAGGAATTTCAATTTCTCATATAGAATTAACCCAGAAGTTTATAGACTTGTTTTTATTACTGTATCTTTGCATGAAACATCATAAATCAACTCATTTGATTGCAGATACGCTTAAGCATTAGTCAATATTCCGGCCCCAAAGATTTCCTCAGAGTTGATGTGCCAACTACCTATTTACACCACTAATATTCAAAATAGCTTGTCACATTTATCGTTACCATCTTTTTTACATTATGAGTATATGGCAGTAGAATAACATGTTTCTAAACTGAGTTACCCACAAATAAATATCATTAATCATTTTTCATATGCCTGCTATATAGCGCAAAGATATTCCTCTTCTTAATGACATCACTACAGATTCGGACTTTCACCTTATCATGTAGAATTAGTCCAAGTAAAAACATCTACATGTGGGAACCTAATCTTTAACATCTACATGTGGGAACCTAATCTTTAACAGTAAAACTCTTTTCTATTTGCATAACTCAAAATGTATCAGAATGTATGTAGAAACTCAAATTAAATTACATATAGAATTATATATATCATTAATAAATACACGCAGTCGTAGTGTATACATATATGTAATACTTACGTTTATTGATATATATATATATATACATCATTCCTGTAGTTGTTATTAACCGACAGACTTGTTTCTGGCTTGAAAAAGAAAGTTTGTTCGAAACGTCGCCAAGAAAATCAATTACAATCATAGTTTTTTTAAGGTGATTTATCTCCAAAAGTCTTTTTTTAATCACCTTTCCATTCTTATACTAATGTATATATATATATATATATCTTTGGCTATAGAATAGAGCACAGAGATGTGATGTTTGGAAGCATGCAAGGCTTATAACAGTTAATAAAAGATAAATGACCAAAGGTTCTATCTGGCTGACAATCATTGGTTAATTATGTAATATACAAGAAATATGAATGGTTAAGAGTTCTATCTGGCTGACAATCATTGGTTAATTATGTAATATACAAGAAATATGAATGGTTAAGAGTTCTATCTGGCTGACAATCATTGGTTAATTATGTAATATACAAGAAATATGAATGGCTAAGAGTTCTAGAAGGGAAAAGGTTGCAGGTATTTTCAGGACAATGCGTGATTGGAGTGTTAATTAGAGATCATTCGAGAGTTACGCAAATACGAACATTAATAATTAAGAAAATTCTACGTCTGGACTATGATAGAAGCACGTAAAGATTATGTATTTTGAAAAAGCCTTCTAACATCAACTAACTGTTGCGCAAGCCCAATTACAAAGAATTCCCATCTCAGCTGTATGTTGTACAAACCGAAACGTAGGATATTTATACAACTATCTGTTGTACTTAGACATAGGAGCCTTTTAATGTCAACTATTGTTTGTGCGAATTGACATTTGAAATTTTTACAATGTAACTCGACACTGTCCAAGATTCTCAAGAGATGCAGACATGGTTTACGGAATGCAGGATAGAGACCCTTTCAATTTCTTAATGTTTTCCCAAAACATAGATTAAATATATTTGTTTCACTTGTTTAGTAACTGTAAGTGGCTCAGTTTATCATTAAGTATAAAAATAAAACGTTAACTCAAATGTAAAAATTTTAATTAATGATATTTATTTATTTAAAACTGGGCATTATCAGTGTTTCAATTCGATATAAGTTAACAATATAATATATTCATGTATCATGGTAATTGTATTATGCATCTATCGTTTGCTTTGCATTGGATTTATAAGCAAACAGTTTTCACCAATCAAAATATTCAATAACAAGCAATTATGATTGTGTGCTGTTGTCAAACCAAATGCCCCCCAGTGGCACAGCGGTAGGACTGCGGAATTACAACGCTAGAATCCGGGTTTCGATACCCGTGATGGGCAGAGCACAGATAGCTCATTGTGTTGCTTTGTGCTTAACTTCAAACAAACAAACCAACCAAATAATTTGTAATATTCAATTAACGCCCCTAATTAGTAAAAAGTGTATTGTTTTAATGATTTTCTATCTTTATTATAAATGAGATATTCCTTTTAGATTATCTAACGTAATATAGGGTGTATTTAACGATTCTGTGCGGTAATTGGTTTGGTATGTATGATTTGTTAACACATTTGAATTTGTGTTTCTTCTAGTTAAAAAAAGGAATTTAAATAATTAGTTTCTAACCCTCAAGATCCTGTTAGTATACCAAACACCTCAAAATATATTATCAGACAGTAAAGTTTCGAGTGGTTTCAAACGCGTTGGTATTGGTTATTTGTGTTGTTGTTTTTTTGTTATTTGTTATTGTAACTTCTTGAAGAAAGTAATCATTTTTAACGAATCGTTAGGACTACGCAGAAACCACAATGAACGAGCTCCTTGGATGGTATGGTTATGAGAAGTTGGACAGTAGAGAAACTCAGGGACTTAACCTTCAACATTTCACGGCTGCTACTTCACCAAGGACGTCATCGACTCCAGATGGCAGTGGTTCTGAAGATACCAGCCGGGATGTATCCTCTAACCAGGGTGCAACTAGAGTCCTTACTCCTGGAACTACCAATAGCGAAACAAAAGAATCTAGCCCGAGAGTAGAAGGTAAGAGTCTCTCGTCTTCATTCTTATAAACTAAAGATTACTTTCATATATATATATATATATTATTCAAAGTGATCCAGATACATCCCTGAAGTAATTGTAACAAGCATTAAGAATTCGGGCAAGACAGAATAGTGATTTTTTTGGTAATTTTCTGTGTATCATTTAGTCGTGCCCAGATAGTCGTAGGATGGCTTTTGTAGTATAGCTCAGGACGCTAGTGATTGCTTGCTACTATTATAATGCACCCACAGCTTAAAGTGCAGAGAATATTATGTAGGGCTGCACGGATATAATTCTGGCTTGCCAGCTCCAAAATGGACGTTGGGAGATATGGTGCAGCTAACTGGCTGCCATCCTTCTGGTCACTAAGTTGAAATTGTTGTCGGCCTTAGCGTCTTTCATTTAAATACAAAATATATGCCAATACTTGTCCTAAGGAACCATTTTCCATTGGTTACATTCTAACGTGTTTTATTTTCTGTCTAAGAACCTTTAACAACGATTATCTCGAAAACTGATTTGAAAACAAATTTTCTGTTTCTAACATCGATCTATGTGAACTTTTTCTGTTTTAGCTCAAAGCGAAGTGTTAATATATATACGAGCATCTGGTGAGTGATCAAGTCTCTGTGACAATAAATGATACTTTAGTCTACTTATCTTAGCGATAAGCTTCCAATAATTACACATTTGAAGATTTTTAGAAGTTGACATTTTCTGGTCTATAAGTATAAAGTTTATATATATCATCTGCTGATGATTCATTTCAATAACCCGAGAGAATGGTATGAAATCTCGACATTTTTAAATTTTCTCTATATTAATCGAAACCTAACTAGACCATACAAACAGTAAAATATAGATGTTTATGCAACTGTCTACGTCACATCACAATTTTAAGCAACGCATATTAATGTATCATCATTTCATTTAAATTATAATTCAAACACCAGACTGGTTGAAATTTTCTCTCCAAAAATAACCTTCGATTGAGTGTTTCATCATTAAACATAATGTGAATTTAGATCAAACTCATCAAGCTCTATAGACAAGGTCACTGTACAAGGGTTAAAGTTCATTGGATTGCTTTGCTTCTTTATTCACTCCATGAATGGATTTCAAAAAGTAAAATAAAGAAGTAATCATAGTAAATGTGTCCTTTAAATAGTACAGATAATTAGATGAAGGAGTGCGTTCATTAGTCAAGAACGTATTTAATGTATGCATTTTAAAATAGTACCAAATTCAGAGTTGCTTGTGCCTAAATAAATCACATTATATATATTTAGTGGGTGAAATAACAGTATTCAACGTTTTACAAAAGCAATATTAGTAGAGAACCAAAGTTTCGAGTAACAAGGCATGATTCGAAGCATAAACTGTTTAAGGAAAGTCATTCAAGTTGGCCCCCTAGTGGCACAGCGGCATGTCTGCTGACTTACAACGCCAGAATCCGGGTTTCGATACCCGTGGTGGGCAGAACACAGATAGCCCATTGTGTAGCTTTGTGCTTTACTTCAAAAACAACAAACAACAACAACTTATAGTATTTTGACACTTGTGTATAAAGTTAAAATCATAAACGTCGAAATATGTAGAGTCGTCAACTTTTTGAAGGCCATAGATAGGC